GCCACCATGCACTGTATGTAATGAATTGCAGCCTGCAACATACAGCAAATGGCCATTTTTCTCAGGGAATCTCTCAGCTCAGAGCTCTGGGACCAAAAATAATGGGCAATATTCTCCAGCATTCATGTGTGACATTCCCATTAGTATTAACAGGAGGTATGTGCCCAAAGTCAGGATGTATTCATCAGCAATCTGAATTGGATATTACTGAGGCTCCTGACGAACGTTCTGGTTTCATCCCCAGCAATGATCCTCCTAGGGAGCAGACACAACTCTTTACTCATCTTTGCACAGCACTTGCACAGGAAGATATTTGCGCAGTGGCAGGTAGAGCTGGAATCAGAGGAAGGAAGGCAGTCTTGTATTGCTTACCTCAGAGCTTCAACCCCCAAAGCAGCCTTGCTCAGCCCCACACTGGCAGCTCAGTTGGTGCAGGTGCTGAGCATCCATTACAGCACCAGAACTCAAAGGCTGGATGGTAGCTGAAGCCTGGAGAAGGTAAGAGAAATGACCACAAAGTCACAGGGCAGATCTGCAATAGAGCTAGTGAAGTCAAGCCTCTGACCTTATAGTCAAATATTCTGTTATATGCTATCACCATCCTGCATTTACCCTAAAGGGCTGTAATCTCTCTCTTTCCCATAAAGTTGAATTATTGACTTCAGAGAAGCTTGCAACTTCATTTGAAAAGGTGAAAAAGAAATCTGATCTCCAAAGGGCAAGAGAAATAATCAGGAAAGGCTATCATTTAGTAAGCTTACTGATGAATGTTACAACATAAATGTCCAGCCTGCCTGTTTTACGTCCAAGAAATCCTGCTTTCTGCCTATGTACATGTGGTTTACCATTGTCTGCTTAATTTCTTAATTATACTTCAAGATGACTCAAATATAGAGCCTAAAGCAGGTTCAACAGGCAACCAAACTGTAGCCAATGCAAGCAGAGTGTGCACATGTACACAGCTTAGTTAACAAGAACAAATTGCTTCCTGCCCTGAATTGCACCCAAGAAGAGCCATAAGCTGGTTCAGAACTAAATATATGCCACAGCATATGTGCTTGCTAGGAAGGTCATTAGAACATAGAGCTCATAGAGAGCTGTGTGGCAGGAGAGAGTAAACACAAGAATAAGATGCAGTGGAATCTGTGCAAGAGAGAAGAAGTGAAAGACACAGAAGGACAGGGAGCACAGCTGCTTGAAATAACTCAAACAGAAACCATACAGCTGCATGCCTTATCCTACCCCCCTGCCTCTGAAAGCATGAACCTTGGCAGTGCTATTCCTCCCCTACCCAAACATAAGGATCAGGCCCTATAAAACACCTTATGGTGAGCCAAAAGGGAGACTGACCAACTAGCCTAAAGCATAAGGTCTTAAGTTCTGGAGGTGTTGGCTTTGCAATTTAAAAAAAACTGGGTTTAGCAAAGACTTTCTTTACTGCAGAGATAAAGACTACTTGCGGCTCTAAACACAAGGGCTTAATCCCAAGAGTCACAGGCCTGTAGACAAGTGTCCAAGAACACTGTCCGTACCTTTGACAAGCTGTAATTAGTATAATAGAACAATGTAACCAGGACTCTAACTCAAAGATGACTGACAGTGATACAATAGAGGGGTCAGGGGGAAGCTAATCCAGAAATTCAGGGTGCACCCCTTAAGCAAAGCATTTAAGTGCAACTAAAAATAGCAGGTGAGACTATCTGACAGCTAAATTGCCAGTGGTAGCTTAGCATGGATTCAGTTACATTGCTCAGCGACCCTCAGTGAATTAAATAGATTGAAATGCTAATGATAGAGTGAATTCCCAGCACAGAGGTAGAATAAAGTAGTCAGATTAGGTTTCAGACAAGGTGAGTTCAATGGCAGCAGAGAGATCAGAGTTTGTTTAGATCAAGGTACAAAGGTAATTTGTCTAGATCAGGGTAGAAAGATGGTTCTTTAAAGCTATGGGGCTCCCCTATGTTAAGTAACACACTGAAAACAGTGTAGACCTGACAAGCTATTTCAGTGACTGTTATTTTATGTGATTTCCATCAACACTGGTACATTTCTGCCTGGTCTCAATATACTCTTAATGGCATCGTCGTTTATCTCCTAATTAGTTAAATGCTACTCTGATGACAGATGTGTGACAGTTCACCTGGGCTGTCATTCAGACTGTATTTATTTCTTCTCAGCCAGTATTCTAACCAGCATACAGCTTTGGTGAAACCGTGACTGTGGCATTTATTGTCTTTTGTGCTTACCATGGCATGACAACTGCAAAAGCACGCAGAGATTCATCCTCACTGCTCCTCCTAAAAGCCTGGAAGCAGTACTGCCTCGGAAAGGAGGCACAGGCCGGATCAAGCATGGTAGCTGCCATTGCACAGACAGAGCTCAGGTCACCTGCTAACAAAATGTAAACCTTAAGCTAATGGCAATGCAAACAAACACCCACAAAGCACACACAAAAAATAAGAACTGAACCTGAAACTCCATCCAGGGTTCACCCCTTTAAAACAACCCTAGGGGCTCTCTGGAGAGGGTATATTACTACATAAATTCCAAGATCAATTTAGCCTGAAACAACTGATCCATCCCTTGTCATCCAAGGTCACACAGCAAGTCAATGCCATTAGATTAAGAAAAAAAACCCAACAACTTGAAATAAGATGCACTATCCTAGCAGTAGGGGCAATTAACACCTTGACAAGATAGGGGGCTCACCATCACTTGGAGCTTTAAAAATGAGATTAGGCATCATTATAAAGGATGCATTTCAATTCACTGCCCTTATAATTTGGAATAGTTATTCTTGTAAGGAAGTGACATTGCAACCTGTCATTTGACTATCAATTGGTGGCGTCATAATACTTCAGTGTCAGTTGTCTGTTTCCACTACAGTAAATAAGAATGATGTATTCTAGTGAAGAAGAAGCATTGTAATCCTGTGTAAGGTCAGGGGGTGGGAGCATAGCATGTTTTGCCCATGGGAGTTTCTTTTGCAGTAGTGCTTATGATCCTGTGAGCAGGAAATCCAAGCTCTGCAACACCCTTACTTTCGGTCTGCGCACCAGATTACACCATCTGGTCATTGGGATGATTACTATATAGGGAAAAATACAAGAAAACGAGATTTTCCAGAGTGACAATGTAATTTAGGGTGCTCTGTTCCATACAAACAGGACTGGTTGTGAGAAGACAGCTGACTGTGCAGTAATCAGTCCCTTGGCTAGGCAGGCTGCATTTTGAGCAGTGCGCTTCAGACGCTGCATACGGGATAAGACTCACTTCTGCCTTCCTCTTCACCGAGGTCAGTTCTTTGTTTAGTTTCAGTATTCCCAGAGGAAAAAGACTACATGGGCAGTAATTAGGAACTGCATGAGGCAGCTTTGATGACTGCTCTTGAACCTTATCCTCCGCATCAAAGGCTAAAGAGTCTGGGATCAATTCTCCCCTGCTATACCAGTGACAATCTCACCCCTTATGGTTCCAAGCCTGAGTGAGGTTCAGCAAGTGGAAATGATTCCTGAGAAGCAGAACCCTGATATGCTTTCTCCATTCATAGTAACAGTCTACTTTATGCCAAGTGACTCATTACCATGAGTGAAGGGAACATGATTCAACCAGAAACATGCATGTAATTTGCACAGATTACTTTCCCACTTGGTTTCCATACTGTGGAGTAACAGGGACTGCCTTCAAGACATTAAAAAAAAAAAAAGGATAGTCCCATGAGTAATTCTTTGCTTAAGAGATAATAGATTGAAGAGACATTCAGATATGGTGGTCTAGAACAGAAACAACATTACGAAGGAAGCCTTGTGTTCCACAACACTTCCAGTGCTGTCAAGTGATATGAAACTAACGTTTCATATCTGATATGAATGTTAGATATAGAATGTTAGATATGAAACTAACGTTTGGAGGATGCTTCAAACACCACTTGTGAATTAAGGAATGTTTCTTTGCAGCCCACAGAAGAAAGACAGAGGAGGTGGCCTCAGGCATGAGTTGGTTGGATTTCAAGACCTGCTTTTCTTGCCTGGCTGGGTGCAGCTTGTGTTTGTGTTCAGTGGTGACACCACCCTCACAGCCTCTGCGGAAAGACACACCGCTGCTGAGCTCCCTGCTGAAAAGGAAGAGCTCTCCTTCAGACTCACACCTTGCTCTGGACACTGCAGCGTTGCACAAGATGGAACTCAAAGAGAGCTGTCAGCATTCATGTGTCAGACCATTAACCTAAAATGAGGATGTGATTTCACTTACAATTCGGCGCTGAAGTGCAGTAGCTGCAGTGGGTAGTTTATCATTTCTTTTGCTGAAGCGCTTGCTGGCAGAAGCATGATAGGAAGAAGGAACCAGTTCCAGTGAAGTCACAAGGGCAGACTCAAACTGCTTACTTTGTAGCATAAATGGTTTAATGTGACAGGGCATGGGGGAAGCAAAAGATCTGTCAGAGAAAATAAACAGAAAAGAAAAATATTACTTCAGAAGAACTCATCCCAAGTAAATGGAGCTTTCCAAAGCAGCAGCATGCAAAATGCTTGATTTCAAGAGTTTCATCCTGGCTCCAGGCAATGTATGATGCTTCACTTGACAAACAAGCCAAGCTCAAGAAACCAACTTTGCCAAATTAAGAGAGCAAGAAGGGATCAGGGAGAACTGAAGTGACACATGGCTCACCAGACACAGGGTTTATTTTACTGTAAGAGGGCAGTGAGGCTTTTGACAAGGCAGATAAGCATACAGACGTGAAACCCACAAAACCTTTCCCCACACTCTGAACCAGCTGCAAAGTTGACAACGCTGTATTTTAAGAAGTGTGCAGAAGCAAAGTTGCACCTCCTTAGAGCAGCACAAAGCAGACATGCAAATCAGCATCCAGCTACAAAACCATGGCTTTACACAGCTTTCCATCCACAGGCTTAGGTCTCATGAAGTCTGCTCCCTTTACCTTGCATTTCTTATTCTTCTAACCCAGTGGTTACCAATCAAGAGCGGTTACCAACCTAAACCTGCAATGCTGCTGGAAAAGGAGGTTCACCTCTGCTCTCCTGACAGAAGCCATATGCTACTGCAGGGGTGGGTGAAATTATACCGTCTACAAGGCACTCCCTTAATCTTCCAAGTTGTTTTTCTGGAACCACAAATAAGAAATCAGCTGGAAATTAAAGAGGAAACAGGCAATAGGAGGCACTGCAAAAATAAATAGAATCCAGCAGGAACAGAACAAAAATTGAATCCCTGTGAAGTGTCTGAAAATCAGCTTCACATTTTGAACTGGTTCAAAGCAGGGATGCCTCACGCTCCTGGGAAAACCAGGATGCAGGAAAGGATAGGAAATACCAAAATATCCCATATAGGAGCGTTCCCAGTTCCCACAGCCCCACAAATCCCATTATTACCTTTCCCATTCTTACCACATATTTCAAACTCCTTTGCTTTCCCACAGCACCTTGGCTGTGCTCCCAGCCACAATGGATGCATTTGCTTGAAGACAAAGCCCTGTGAGTCCATTCTCAGCAAAAAACATCACCCAGGACCTGGACACAGAAAAGGCCACGTTTGCTTGAGAACTTCCTTTTAAATGGAAAAGTGATGCCCACTCTGTGAGATCTTACAGCAGGAGAGACCACATAGGTGATGAGACCATTGCTTCCAGCTGAGGAGCAAAAGGGTGTGGGTTCTCCTTAGGAGCTGGCAGAGGTTCAATGGCTACTTGGGATTGGCTTCATTCTTGCTGCAGGCAAATTTGAGCAGACTTACTTCCAGAGTGTGTTTAATAGCATGCACTAAACCATCAAGTGATCCACATTGAGATGAAGCAAAGGGGTGGATGTGGGTTATATTAATGTGAGATAAACTAACCCGCAGCCAGTTCCTGGTGTAGGTAATCTCTGCTGCAAACACCCCTTCAGGATTCTGGGGCCAGCGGATCCATCCCTAGCAATACCCTCCTTCAGCTTGTTCCACCTCCCACCCCGGTGAGATGGCTGATGCTCAGGGTCCACATGGATGTTCTTGCCCTGGGGATCCTTTTGTGGAAGGGGGATGAATCAACTCTGTCCCATCTCTGTTGCAGGAGGGCCCTTTGAGCCACTGTCAAACAGGCACGTGGCATCTCTTACACTACCAGCTCCTTGGCCTTCCCTAATGAAAAGGGTTGGTTTTGTCCCGTTCAGAAGAGGGGAGGGAGATGGGAGGACATGAAACCAACAACAAGCCCTTGTAAGCACTGATATGGCCCTAAGGGATTCTCCACATTAAAGCTGATCCAGTGTAACTCCTACAGGCTGCTATTGTGGTTTCTGTTTGCTCTGTCTACTCTTTAATTACAACTGTTGCTTACAACTGTTTGTAAGGCCACTTGCAGCTCTGTCTTGGAAATCAGTTCAGATGTCAATGGTTACACCATGAATGGGCTTAAAGCCAATGGATAAAGACCATAAACTTGACACCAGAAAGTGTAAATATCTGAAAAAAGAAAGAATTGGACTTCAGGCATATGACAGAGAGGGCCCATGACCAGAGAAGACACTGGGGAAGCCTCAGGTCACCAGAAGAGTGCATACACAGTGGTGTGTTTGCACCCAGTGGGTCAGTAGCTTTGCTTTCTTCTGCAACAATGACATGAAAACACAACACTGGTCATAATCTGCATCATCAATAGGTTTAAACCCTCCAAGACATCAAAACTTTAGCGTCTCAGCACTTCCAGGGTCTTTTGCAAGTGGGCCATGGTTACAAGTGGCAGAAGCTGAAGAGCTCGTCTCAACTGAGACCTCCTTGGGCGCAGCTCCGTGGGTAAACAGGAGTCAAAACGCACTAGGTGAGAGTTTACAAATGGGGAACCGAGGCACAGGAAGATTAATAATAATGATACTCAGCATTTATTTATTGCTTTAAGTGGTCCACACCCTTTACAGACGTTGACCCTCGCAATACCCGGGGGAGAGGTGACTGCCTATTATTATCCTGTTTTTCACAGATGGGGACGAAGAGGCTGAAATGTGGCTTTCCCCAGGCCAAAGAGCTAACAACTGGTGAACATAATTCTGTGCTTCAAGTCCAGCTCAAGCACTCCACATCCTCATCAAAGAGTGTATCGCAGTGTGACCAACCTTGTCTTACTGCTCCTCAGAGCAGCAGCACATTCTTAGCCCCTCTGTGGAAATGGTTGGTTCAAGGCTAAGTATGAGGTGGCTTCACCTGGTGAGGACACAGGACTGTTCCTTCAGACAACCCTCTCCCCCAGCCCTGCACTCTGAGTGTGCATCCTTGCTGGGCTCACTCCTCATACACACCTTACCGCACCACCAATTTTATTGCTCCAGTGCTTCCCATAACAACATCCTCCTTTTCCCTTGCTTTTCCAGCTGAAGGAGGACCACACAGGGCTGGGAATGGGGCTGAGCAATGATTCCTGGGAGGATAAATAGAAAGAAGGGAAACAGCTACCAGACAATGTTGACATAAGCCTGAGTGGAAGTTAAACAGTTTCTCACCAGCAGAGTGAGCTTCTGGAACAGACCTGGGAGAGCACTAGTGGGGGGTAAAAATCAAGGACAAAAAGACCCCTTAGCCAATCTATGTAGTTTTAAGATGGAGCTTGATAAATCGATAGGAATGGCTGCCTGGGACACATGGGATCACACCTGCTGATGAAAGAGGTCTTTCCAGCCCGGTGCTCCCTCCAGCTTCCTTGAAAGCACTGAGCTGTGCAGCCTGCAGCTGCCAAGGTTCATTTCTTCAAACAAACAAACAAAGCTGGGACACCAAAGCGGTAATCAAGAGAATTGCATTGCAACACTGAGCTTCCGCTGTGCTCCCCGCACTTTGGGAACTGTGTCTTCATTTCCTGATGGAATACTCCCTTCCCTCCTGCGGCAGGGGCTGCATTGGGACGGTCCCACCTTAAGGAAGCCCTGGGGTGCCTTGCCATAGCACTGGCAGTCCCAGTGGCACTCAGCCTGCTTCCCTCTGTCCCACCCAACTGCTCTGATTCATGTGGCTCTGCTCCTGCAATGAATTAGCAGCCAGGGTTTCCTGAGGTTAGCATGGCCATGGATACGGATCACAGCCTTGTTTCGTCAGGCTCGTGGAGAGGGTTGTAACAACAGCAATGGGAGTTGGTGCGAGTGGGTAAAAAGTGGGGAACTTCAGTTCAAGAAGGCAGACCCTCCGCTCCCTTCCTCGCTTCCCCAGGCTGCAGTCACTCCTCAGCCCCAACAAACACAGTGAGGCAATGGGCACGCTTCCAGCCAGAAGGGATGAAAGGGACGGGTCAGAGGCCAGGTCCTCCCTCCTGACCCATGTGGTGTCAGGAGACCTGAAACCCATCCATCAAATGTAAGTGCTTGGTTATCACAGAGGGAGTGCCTGGGGCTTTGTCTCCATGGGAAGGTTGTGTTGGTATCGTTCAGGGTATGAACATAAATTGCTGCGATCCCTTGGGGCCCTTCTTTGCTAGGAAAATGTGAGTCCTTAATGCCCATTAATTAACTTGAAGTAGGCTTTGCGGGAAATGTGTAGTTTTCACATGAAGTTATATTAAAGACCAGCTCTGCATACTTTATTTGCTGTATGATTCAGCAAAACTCAAGCATGCACTTAAGTTCAAACATGCACTTTGAGCTCAGTGAAGTCAGCGGAAGGCTGCTAAAATGCTTCAGTGATTTGGAGCTTATTTAGACTGTGTGTGATTTAGGAATAGGCATCAGCAATCAAAAATTCCCTATCCTTTACCTTGTCCTGTAGTACCTGAACACATCCTCCTTTCTTTGTGGCTGCAAAACTGCTAGTGCTGTGAAAATAAGTAAGTCTCATGTCTAAGGAAGATGGGCTTGCTTAAGACTCAGTAGAGCTTTGTGGTCACGGTACAGAGATGTGTGTTTTTTTCTGCAAGCCTAAATCAGCTGCTCTGCAGTAAGGTTCAATACCCTGGTTTTCTGCTTTCCTGAAAGCTTTTGCACTCGCTGACTGAACTGCTTTGTGCCAAGAGGCTACAAGGCACTGCCCAGATACGTTGGAAAGCTTGTGGAAACTGCTTTGTGCGTATGGAAAGCAGTAGGAGCCCTGAAATGACAAGTTACTGCTATAAAGTTGAGAGGAGCATCTCCTGTTCATCTGTGCTTTCCTGCCTGGATAGTAGCAGGCATAAAGCATGAACCGCAAGAAGGCATTTCCCATAGCTTTTTTTTCTCCTGCCATAAGAAGACGATATAGGAGGGCCCCAGAAGCAGTAAAAACACCATCCTTCAGTCTGGGGCCGCCTTGCAGCTGGAGCAGCAGATGCAAGACTCAGGCTGCTCCCCATTCTCTCCTGCCCCACTTAGCCTTTGAAAGGGCTTCCCTCCCTCCATGCATGCAGTGACAGCCGCCAATGCCTAATTACGGCTCTTTAACCTTAAAATATGACAGCACTGTGCTGCACTTACGTGATCCTGTAATCATATCTTCCTACAGATGCCCTTTTCATGCAGCTTAAATATTTTACAAATACATGTCTAAGTACAAATCTACTGCATTAACTCTTGTATAGAGGGTACTTATTTTCAGCATGGTGGCTGGGATTCCTATAAATATAATTTACCATGCAGTATGATATAGCTGGGCTAAAATGCGCAGCTTTTACTAGCTAAAATACAATAAAATATGCTACACCATGTTTCACAGATGAATCACTTCTAAACCATGCCTTTAAGTATCATCTGTCACTGCAGTTCCTTATTGTAATACTTTGTGAGAGCTAAAGGAAAAGAGAGAGAAATTGCCCTTTAAATCTCTACAAAGCCTACCATCCAGAAGAAATTAGGGACATTTGTTCTTGGAGTCAGATGGGTTATGTAAGAGAAAGCTGTACACAACAGGTTTTATTGGGGTGGAGGTGAGGGGAATGGGTTTTTTCTTATTTATTTATGTGCTATTCGAGGCATGTTCAAAGACCAGCTCATGAATGACTCCCAAACTCTGTAAAGAGCAGCTGTAATCCAAAGGGTGCAGAAAATCGTTTCATCTCAGCCCAAGATGCCAAGCCACCAGGGTAGAGACCCCAGTAAAGCAGAACTGCCTGATACCTGCTTTAAATTAGGTCCCCAGCAGAAAGTCTGCATGTGCACAAAGCAGTGGAGTAGGTTAGGGAAATCATCAGCAGATAGTAAGATGTTCCCATATTCAGTAGGTGCCAGTTGGTCTACACAGTTCTTGCTTCGAAGAAGAACAATACTGGAAAGAGCTACTTAAAGCACAAACCCCCAGCAGTCACAGACAACCTGAGGAGCATTTTTGGGAAACAGCCATAAAAGATCCATGCAAAGGCCTTTGAACACTTCCCAGTGTATAAAATCAAACTTAAGTCTGAAAGACCCAAGTTAAAGAAAGAGTAGTAATGATCTCCAATGGGATGTCTCCAGTCTGGCCAAAGGCTTTATATAACTTGTGTGATTGGAAGGCACGCACTTCATTTCTGCTACCAAATGCGTCTTCACTTGCCAGATCCCCAGGCTTTCCAGCATTCCCTGGCTTGCTGCAAGGGCCCTGGATCCAAGTGTAGGGTTATCCCCTGGGCTGCTGAAGTCCTTCACAGACCCAAGAGGTTTCCTGTAGGTTGCAGCAGGTTTTTCTAAGCCAGACTCTCTGTGGGGTCTTCTCTCTCTTCTTTAAAGCTACCACTGAAATAACATAGTAAAGGCAGAGCTGGAGTAACAGGGATGTCACAGCTGGTGGCCGCAGCTGTGAGTTTGGGCCAGAACGCATTGTTCTTCCTTCTGCGGATGCTGTCTGTTAATAAGACACTTACTGCTGAGATGTTTTCTTTTTTGGGGATCTACAGAACGAACCAAAAGAGAAAGTCCATTTTTTTCATTTACCGTTCTGGCAGGATTAACAAGAAACCAGGAATGATTCCATTCCACCTGCCATGAATAAATAACACTCCTGTCTAATTGCCTGTCTAAAGTTTCATCAAGGCACAAGCTCAGGCTTACAAACATATCCAAAGGCCATTAAAATGCTGCATGATAGACTAAAACTTGACCTCCATTGCAGAGTAGCTTGGCACAAGTGCAGCAGCTATGCACACGTAGGGCAGGGGCGTGCATACACAAGTAGCCTGATCACCAGAGGGACTCTCATTACAGCTGCAGGCACCAGCTCCACCGTCCCTTGTCCACAGAAGATACAACCAGCATGGAAGTAACTCCAGCAGGTTTCTGCCCCTCCAACATACTACAGGGAGGCGTCCTCTCCTACTCAGGTGGATGCAAACGTTGCAACTATTTCATCCTAAACCACAGCATTCGGTTGAGGTGAAAAGCCACTGGATTGTGTCCCCCCGCCTTTCGTTCATATATATCTGAAAATAATGTAATCAGAGGGAAAAAACAAGTATCAGCCCAGTGCCAGTTTTCTGCCACCTTCAAGGAAAGGTGTGATTGAGGATCACTGGACATCTTTTTCCTGCCCAGCACTAGTCCCAGGCCTGATGTGGCTTGTGTAGCTCAATGCAGCTTCTCGCTTCACTCCACCCACAGAGCTCAGGTTTTCTGTCTCGGGCTGCACAGCTGAGTGTGTCTCAGTACCAAACCCCATTATTAAGTCAGTTGGACTGATGCCTTCCAGCACATTGTAAACAGCTTCAGACCATGGGGTTTCACTATGTCTCATGAGTTCTCCAGAAGCAGGGTGAGTCAGAGCTGGCCAGTGAAGAAAGCTGTAGTGTCTGGGACCCCCACTTCCTTTGTTTCAGAAGCTGGAAGGTGCACATTGTGCTTTGCATGCATTTTTAGTTCACTTTCTTTAGTCGCCCTGGTGATCTGGCAATGGGGACGTGCGAATCTTTTCTCTTTTTGACAATACCAGAAAAGAAAACCCAACAAAACCCAGAAGAACCAAGTCTCAGTTTTATGCAGGAACCTTCACAAAGCTCCCCCAAGCATTTGCATCCAGAATAACTCTGTCTCCAGGAGGCTGTAACAGCCACTCACACCACTTCCCATTGATCATCACCAAGTATCACCTCACCATGTGCCCTGTGGTCCCTGCAGTTGCACTCACATCCCAACACGCAGTGCTCACACCAGTGCAGGACAAAGCTGCTGGGTTTGTCTGCCCCTCTCCTACCCCCATGCCTGCCCGAAGGAAGGCTGCATGCTTTTGAAGGCATGCAAATCTCTGGCCTATAAACCTGACTCCATTCAGCCTCTCTTTTAGCCCCAGAGATTTATGTATCCCCTCTGTTTTAAGTAAGCTCTCTTCCAAGAGCATGACTGCAAAGGTAAGTTCAGGCTTAAACCCATGTAAATCATACGGTTTGAGTTCCCTAGGGATTAGCATGGTTTCTGCAGTCTCTCTGCTACTCAAGCTCCCCCGTACGCTCCATAATCATTTCCAGCTTTCTTCATGCTCCCTGACTCAGGGCTATAACTCAAGCTGTCACCCTTTGTGCTCAAGAGGCCCCTCTGGTAGCTCCTTAGCTTGCCTGGGCACCAGCCTGCACACAGAGCCCCGTGTCCTGGGCAGAAGGGATGGGGTGCTCGTGCCATGCATGGTGGCTTGGTGCAGCAGTGCCCTCCAAGCTGCCAGTGCAAGAGCTCTGCATGTAAGACCCCCATGAACAGAAACCAGGAGACAGAGGTCAGCTGCTGTGACCTACCCCAGGTCAGACCCCCAACACAGCCCTAATGAGCCCCTGATTTGCCAGGGTGTGCAGCAGGAGCAGTGCAGCACACTACAGACAACCTCCCTGCCCATGGTCAGCGTAACCTCCTTAGAGAGAGGACAAAACCTGTCCTGGGATTTTATGTAGCTTGTACTGGAAAACATACACTGGTTTATTTGGGGTTGTTGGCAGAGGAGGCTTGTGTGGTTTTTAAGACCATCTATTTGATATCTACATGGAGAAGCTAAGTTAATCTCATCCTTGCAGCAAATGACTTCTATAAAGACCAGAAATGGACATTGCTTATTGCCCATTGATTTCATGAATGAAGGAAGTGCACATGGCATGGGAGCTGACCCTTTGCACTGCAAACAGTTGTATAATTACGGGAAAGGTGCGCGTTAATGAGG